TCAAAATTTCTTCTACCTAATTCTTATATCCTGCCACTTCGATCTCAAGATGTTAATATCTGACAACCCACACATTCAAAACCAAACACAATGTATTTCAAAATTATTACTCTCGTCGAATTGTTATTAATAACAGTTTTTCCGTCTTTGCTGCAATTCCTTACACCATTATCATCTATCTTGATCTTTTTCTTATCGATCGCATCACCATTACAGTGCGTTGCTTCTTTAGCTTCTGATAAACGACGACTTCGTCTTAACATTTGTCAACACCTTATTGGTATTATGCCTACAATAAGGATGTAAAAATTTTAGTCCAAATTTGGTAAAATAGAAATATCTCTGTCGTTATTTTCACTTCCTAATAAAACTGAACGCAAACAATGCCCAGCTATTTAACAAAATTAGACATAAGAATATATCTGTAAATTATTCTTAGCAGATACCATTTGTCTTAACATTTGTCAACACCTTATTGGTATTATGCCTACAATAAGGATGTAAAAATTTTAGTCCAAATTTGGTAAAATAGAAATATCTCTGTCGTTATTTTCACTTCCTAATAAAACTGATATATATTATTCTATATTATTCTTAGCAGATACCCAAACGATCAATTTTTAGATTCCAGATACTACCACAAGTAATATTATCTTTCACTTTTAAGAATCTCACAAGTGTATATTTGAGCTAACATAAGAAAAAGTCGGGACTAAAAAAACTTTCGTTGTTCCATTCAATTAGCAAATGACCCCAAACTAGATCAATACCTCATTAAATCATGCCAGATAATTATAAATATCATCTCAACGGTAACATCGTCGCCCATCCACACCACCAGTTAAACAAACTCACCCTCCCATCAGGGAATGAACAAACGCGAAAACTTACCCTACTTTGAAACGCAGACAGTTTTACGCTGTGCCATTCTGCAAACAATCGTTTCGGAACTATTGAATTTGAATCAAAACCGACTTAATCTGAGTTTTCAAAGATTCTCTCTCGGGAATTTATTAGATATGTGTAGCGTATTTCAGTTGGTGGGGGGCACTCGAAATTATTTGAGCACTAAGTTATTTGAGAGTATTTGATTTATTAGATATGGTATTTGAGTTAAAAGTTACGAGTTATTATTAAGTCATTTATGCATTAAGTCGTTCAAGTGTTGGGACCATCGAGACGGTTGATCAGTTCCAAAATTGTTAACTTATTAAATTATTCAAGCATTCGAATTGCTAAAGTACTGAAGTTATTTATATATTCGAATCGTTTGGCTTTTGAGTATTATTTAGGTGCTCGAGTTTACATACGATTTTAAATGAGAATGAAGTACAAGATAAGCTCTTTGAGTAATTAAATGCAATAAAGATAAGTGTTCTGTAAATCCGATTTAATGTGAGAATTTCTTTTTTGATTTGTAATTTAAATTGATGAGTTTGTAAAAGGAATCTTTTAGTAAATGCATTTATGTTTTATTGAATTGTAAACAACTTTATGTTATTTATCAACAATTTTATTCTTCCTAAGTAAACGTGGTGACCGTTCATCCCTTCACTTTTCCTCCATTCTTTCATGTTTTCTTTCTGTCATTTCTCCCTTATCACCAATCTCTTCCCTAAAAATTTATTGTTAGTTATTATTCATCGTTTGATATCAACCTATAACACTTTTGAATTATTATAATGCTGTGGCTTATTACATGTAGTTGCTTCATATACTTCTTTACATCAGCAACTGGTAATAAATTCATTTTCAGTTCCAATTTTGAATTTTAAATATTTAGCTTCAGCATTAGTATAATTTCTAAAACTCGAAATTTCAACAAAAATCCTCGTTTAACTGCTTCGAGATTAGATAAGCATCCATATGTTCTAAGAAAGAGGTTGTTGCATGCTCAGAATATATAATCTATCCGCTAATGAACGAAACTGAATCATCTTCCGGGGAATGTATCTATTATTTTGATATTCTCAGTTAGTGTTTTTGCATGCAAAAAAATCAAATTGCTTTAAAATGCCTATTACAGTAACTAGCATTTAAGTGTTTTTCTTTACAGCTCTCAGATGTATGATTGAAAATAGCATTGTGAGAGAACCTGTCGTTGAAAATTGCTCATCATCAGTTACCCACTGTTTCTGGTTCAGGTGCGACAATTCGGACAGTAAGTGTTTTCAGAGATTCATACACTTAGGCCATGCATAGATGTAATGTTAATTATACTATAATTTATTGATAACAGCAGTCCTTATCACCTCCGACGGTCAACAGTGACTTCAAGAATAAAAGACCTTGCAGTTTAACAGATTAAGCATATGTAATACAGCTGGAATGTCTTAAACATAGACCTGTACAGAATATAGGATATCTAAAATAGCTATGTTAGGTATAAATTCGCATTTCATTAACAATCAAAGAAATGAACTGAAAAAAAGGCTAATCTTAGTTATGATAATCAACTCAAATAGTGCAAGAAGTCTGATTGGAAAAACAAGTCTTGATTTTTTCTATGCGAAATCTTTCAAATCAAACACGGTTCGTTGCAAAATTTAAATTCTGATTTAATTTCTAATTCATTTTTTTTTTGCTCAACGATTAGACTTTTTAGAAGTAATAAATGAGAGAGGCTGCAACGACAATTTAAGCAACTTGTGGAACTGTCAAGCATTGGGAAAAGCTTGTATGGAGGCTGGTGGAATAGCGTATTGCGATAAGTGTGTCACAGATTTGTGTAACAATGCTGTAACTACTGTTTTTTCTTCCCTTACCACTACAGCCATATTGTTGCTCTTACTTACGCTAAGTGTTATCGAATATGTGTAATCATAGGAACTTATATATTTCCGTGTCGATACATTGATGGAAAGTAATTATGATTCAGTACACTGTGATAAATTTCTATCCCAAAACTTTATTGAAAAATCTTTGATGTTGAATAGCTCTAACAAAATTAGTGCATTCAATTTTAAAAGTATGGAGCTAAACTTTGCTCTGATCAAGTAGAAAGAAATTTGCATTATTGATTGTCAATATGCCCCGTGACATGTCACAACATATTTCGAGGCATTGAAAATGTTTTTTTGCAGGAAAGTAGAAAGATGACATAACCACGAATGCAACATTCAATATAACTTCAATTCTTATCATTTTCTCCAGGGGCTAATCATGGGCGACGAAACGTCCCTTTTCCGCTTCCTCTTTCTTATCACATTAAAAAAAATACAATATTTGTGTACTGTCGCTTCCAAAATTATCATCAAAAACGTTTTTGGTTTGCTTTTTATCCTTGAGCGATACCCTTTATTTTAGATAGGCAACAGGTATTTATTTAAAATATACTTGTCTTAACTTAACTCGAATTTTAATCTTAATAACGAATCTTAATCTCGAATCTTAGGTGTTAAGTTATTAAGATTCGAGAGATGACATCCTAGAATCCCGAAACATTTGATTGAATAAATGATTGGAAAGAGGTAGAAAATATATAATAACTGAATGGATTCTTCTCCACAAGATAAACCAACTGCAAATTTTCAAGTCAACCAAATTCTTAAGTTTTCTCCAAATACACAAATTTATAATGCGAAAATAATGAAGTGGTGAAATCGTGTTCGAAGATTCCAAAAGTAACAAAAGTATAGTGTTGACTGACAGCAACGTGTATTAGATTTTTCTTTCACCTGTCCCAGTTAAATCTTTCGTTTGGAAATTCCAATTTTATACTTTTTCTTTATTTTGGAACGATTTCATCGATATTTTTCCAATTTATAGTCGATCGGTACCAAGGAATCATAAATGATACCACTCATTGAACTCATTTGTTATCATTCATTATTAAAGTTATTCCTCAACTATCCTCAAAAAGGTAAGTTTAATTTTATTAAACTTATCAGTTGACAAGAAGAAATTATAGCAATTATATAAAAGCAAACCAGTTTCGCAATAACAACGATAACAAGAACCGGAAAACTGACGTAACGGATTGCAATAAATCAATGATATCATCGAAAAACTATGCACGTATAAACAACATTAATAAATAAACAAAGTAATAAAAAATGAAACAGGTTAACCAAATTGACTAGAGAATTTAAATCCAATTAATTAAAGACAAAAACAAGCAAAGACAATGATTGGGATATGAAGATAGGGATTGCTTTCCTTTTAATACTAATTCTTAGTCCATATGATCAATTCCTATTTGCAAGAATAGTGCTAATATATTCTTCTAGAATGTTTAAGTAAATTAAACAAATCAAAAAAGAAAAAAGTCCTAATATTCGGTTCGTTTGTAATTGAAATCATCGTCGAACTATATACTGTGATCTATTTAATCTAACAATAAAGATACCAGTTAAAATTTGATCATTTTAAAAATCTATTGCAGCCACAACTAAAGTAAACATAAGTGAAGCATTAAAAAAGAGGAATTGTCTTCTTTGTAAAAAGACGTGATGTTATGGCTATCATGAAGTATAGCCTTGAGGAATAATTACATAATAGCGAAATGAAATCTAAGCAAGTAAAAAAAGAAAAAAATGTTTAATAAATTAAGCAGAAAATGAAACAAAACTTAATCTCGTTTCTCTATGACCTGAAAAGTCGATACCTTTACATTTAACCCATCAATTTTGATAGAGTTCAATGTTCTCAACTTTTCAATTCTAAATTGTGTCTTTCCTGTTGCACAAGCTAAGATTTCAACAATTTGAACCTACTATTTCCGGATTTGGAATAATTTTAAAAATTGCAGCAAGTTATTTTCTACGAAGACTTCTTAATTCGACGAATAACAAACGCATGTGAAAAATCAAAAATTAAATAAAAAAGTTGTGAAAGTTATCAGCAAGAAATAAAGCCAATCTAAAATGAGATGACAAGCATAAAATTATTCAAATTTTAAAGATGTCTTTATTGCTTTTAGAAAAAGAAAGATCTAATATTCCTAGGAAAAAATATCAAACATAAATTAAATTTCCACATTACACCGAGAAGTATGCAAATTAAGGAAAATCTAAGATAATATACTTTTCACGAGCTTTGTAAGATGGATAGAGACCTTTTTTGCCTGTTCGCCTGTTAATGCCCTTCGAGAAGCCATCCCAGTGGTTACCAGCAATTCCAATAATATCACCAATCTTCAAATCAATTTCGTTATCACTCTCAGCATTATACGACTCCACTACTATTTGTTCGTGAGCTGAAACGATTAGAAAACTTAAGATTGAAATGCTGTGTTAAACGTGCAGTTGTACAGCTATTACAAAATGATGCACATTAAACGGCTAGAAAACTTTGGATGCGCATGCATTCATGCAAACTAAAGAGATATATATTTTTAAAACTTCGTTAAATTCTTCATTAATCTACGATTTCTCAATGTACACTAAGTATTTTCAACTGTATTTATAATTATCCAGCATTAGCTTTTGACACTGTAAAAAAAATCTACCTTGTTGGCCACCAAAGTAGTAAATATCATCCAAGGAATGAAATCGATCACCTGCATCACCAAAACGAACTTGCATTAACTCGTAACCCACACGACAAACCTGCGAACTGAATGTGCAGACAAGATATACACATCTGAAACCCAAGCAATAATAATAGATAAAAGAAAAAAGACCGCCTTCAGTACACATAAGTTTTTCAGTTGGGTAATAGTAATGCCGCCATCAGAACTAGCATATCATGAATTTAGATCTGCAGTTCAGACTCATTTGAATCATGTTGTGATAGACATATCAACAGCCGATACTAATACTTATCATTAATCCTCCTTAAAAGATAACGACATAAATCATTCAACCAGCTCCTTCCATCTATGAAAGTATTCTATTCTGTTGATTCAAAAGTAATATCTCACATCTTCTTTTCTTAATTACAAATATTCCATCTTTCTTTTCATTTTCTTCGCACGGATCTAGGAAACTACACCATCATTAATTTGTCAAATAGAAGAATAAAAAACTGAGCAAATATACCTTGATAATAATTCAATATCGATCACAATACCAATTAATGACTCTACAGTATAGCGGGAATGAACTTGAGCCATTTGTGATATTTTTGGATCACCATATATCTCGTAATTTGGATATCTGAAACTTTCACTCCCAAGTTAATTTCATTCAATGTTATTCAATCGAAATTAATCGAAATTAATCTAACATATTAATTCAGCTATAGTTTGATTTTTTTGCAATACATATTGAATAATATCCTTTACAAAAAAAATTATTCTTTACTACTTTCTACATCAAAAAGAGAAAAGGAAATATCTACTAATGTCTGTAACGAATTATATATATGATTTATTTAGCAGTAGCCCAAAAAAAATCAGCGCTCGCGGACATTAAAAAAAGTATCCCAACATATTTTAAATATGGTTATAGCTGATGGTAGTTGAATCGAATATTATTCTTCTCATATGAAAATAAAAACAAGCAATCTTCATTCTCAACTACCACTTGTATTAGCATTTTTCGTTAAATAACAATTAATACAGTTAATAAAATTAAAAAGACCGATGGAAAGAAAATGAATAATGAACTTCATTGCAGCTTCATCGAAAACTTCTGGATCATCAGTTGCAATATAAATTCGCCTCTTAACCCATGACTGTGTACGATATTCTTCAATCCGAAACCAATCTTCTGTCCATTTCATGTACTCATCCAAACCATGAAAAGATGCCTCCGTGTCAATTTTGTCCGTCCGACGGACTTGNGCAATATAAATTCGCCTCTTAACCCATGACTGTGTACGATATTCTTCAATCCGAAACCAATCTTCTGTCCATTTCATGTACTCATCCAAACCATGAAAAGATGCCTCCGTGTCAATTTTGTCCGTCCGACGGACTTGCCAACCAACGACTGGTCCTTAAAATAAAACAAAAACTCGATAAAAATGCTTTTATTCTCTCCTCTCAGACTAATCAATAAATTCGCCTTAAATCTACGATTCATAACAGTAAATTAGCAAATAATAAAAAATAAAGGTCTCTGGAAATCGTATTCGAATGCACAAGTAATACAAACAATTCAAAAATTGTTCTCAACCAATTTCCAAACCTTTATTGAACGGCACTTTCTTTGAAGCCCGATATATTTCTTTTGCAAATATCGCTGATGGGCGCATTAGATACCGTATAAACTGTAAACAGATTTCATTATTGCATTCAATGGTTTATTGTAAAAATAACTCTCAAGAGATGATTTCATCAATCAGCGATCAATTATACAAATCACCACTGCATGTGGTAAGGTTGATCTGACCGTATCTCGAATACAATAAAACCTTCTAACCTCAGTCAAATCAACTTCACACTAATCCAATTCACATTTCCCATCTATAAAATTCATTCACTATTAAAAAAATGAAAAATAGATAGTAAAAATAACCTTTCTAATCAAAATAAAAAAAATCGAAAAATGTTTATTATTAAATAATGTCATAGATAATCGACCAATACTGACTGCATGAGAAGTAACCAACTACTAGTTTCCAAGATTTAACGACCCAACCAGTTATCGAATTTTTGAAACACCAGAAAATAAACCTGTGAAATGAAGAATGCTGGAGAATTGGAGTGCAGCTTGAGTAGCTCGTCACTATGTGACTGCGGGATAGCAAGTGGAAGATAGGGCGGTCGGTGAGAGAGTGAATCAATAATTGGCAATTTTACTATCCGTTTATTCCAGTAATGTTTATCAATACCCCAATCGTCAGCATATTCGTTGGGCTGAAAATTCAATTTTTCAAAAATTGAACTGAAAATTCAATTTCTCTCCAAATTTTCAAAAACACACTGCGATCGCAGTAGAAATGAGATCCCATCAGTGATATCAATCACTTAACAAATTATAGCAATGAAGTATCAGTTGGGCTTCATTTCATATTTTAATCGAAAGTTTTTTTATACCAAAGTACTATTTTTATTTATACCAAAGCAACATGGTGAGCAAAGAACTTCAAATCAATGAGGAAAAGAAATTAGAAAGATCATGGCGAAAAAAATGAAACCCTTTTAAGCCAGTGACTTGCACACATTTGAAATATATTCTTTCGAAATGCAAAAGATACTCTCTCTTCTTTCTTTCTTCGAAACTTTATCGTAACCTTGAAAATTTCCGAAAATGAACATTTAGTAATTGGAAGGAAAGCAGTAGCCCAGCCATTTGCGGCGTAATTCCATGTACGACCATCATCCGTTAAGACGAGTGTGCGATTTGAACCGTATGCAACAATGAAACAATATGTAACGTGATGTAGTTGGCAACCGAAACCACATCGCTTATTTAAATCACATATTAAAATTCTGCAAATTTCACCGAAAATTTCAAAAGTTTAAAAAATACATTTGATCATATCAACTCGACTCTATCAATCACAATAGAGTTTGTACTTAAAACTTACTTTGAAACTGGATAGCTATGCACGTGTACAATATCAGACAATAAGCAACGTTACTATCTCTATTTAATAGCAACTAGAATATTCGAAAACTAACACATTAATCAATAATCATCAGATCTATGATAATGGTTTCTATGAATAACTATCCATTTTGAACTTTCAGTAGAGCAGAAAATAAGAATAAATGTGACATTCAAAAATTCCTTAAAATCTGCTTTTGTTCTTATTAAATTTATCACCAGAAAATTCGACATTTTCTTTCAGATCATCCAGCAGCATATTTAATTTCGATCAACTTGCATTAATTTATTGAATAAAAAGTAAAATTAATGAATAGTGACCACATACTTTACAGCTTTACAATCGTCAGGATTTTGCATTCTGTCAAAATGATTCTGAAATATTGCCGAAATATTTGCAAGTGCATTTGTTCGCCAACTTTCCGCTGAGTCAACATTTCTGAATGCTGCCGCTTGACCAAGCAAAGAAAGCAACTGTAAAGATTATTATAAATGATTTTCGTCCAGAAAAATAAGCAAAAAAGACATTCTACCTGATTCCGTGTATGATTTATGAATGCAGAATTGTTGTTGTGAGTTGATGCAAGTTGATTGTCGAGATAGTAATAAAGTTCCCATATTGAATTATGCAGCGCACGTCTCGCTATCTAAAAATATTTTCACTCAAAAATTATTCTTTGAATGTTCATTAAAGATTAAAACAATAAATTTAAGAATTACATTAATATATGCAAAGATAAGTGGATCGAGTATCAGGATTGCTCAACTATTTCCATTTCGTCAACGCTTCTCTAAAACTATCGTAAACTTAATCAGTAGGAGGGATAAATAATTAGCATTAACATAAACTTAAGAGTCTGATTTCGACTCCATCTGAAAAATAAATCTACCAAATTGTAAAATATCATATACCGAATGTGCGGACAATTCTCTGCATTGGCGAGAGTTATATAATTGACTAGGAGAACAAATAATGCACAAATGAGTGAAACCCTTGCTAGATAGAATTGAAAAATTTTTAAAAAAGGAGGAGAGGAAAAGAAAAAAAGGAGAACGAAAAGCATATGATGATAAAAATATTAAAAGCTACAATAACATACAGCAAGAAAAAGAAACAATACAAATTTGATTTCAATTTTCGACTGAATGTAATAAACAACTTGGTAGTAAAAGTACTTCATGTTTCATTGAAAAACCATTCGATGACGAAAGGACCAAAGTTCCATTCTTTTCTTTATTAGCCCACTCTTCCTTCTTTTCAAATCCCTGGTTTATTTTTGCATAGCCATCCTGCTTCTCCACAGTCACTTTTCCTTCCAACATATGTACACCTTTTAACAATTTGCGAAGTTTTTCATTTTCATGCTTTAGTTCTGCTAAATCCAACAAAACTCGCTCATTGTTTAATACCAAAGTTTGTTGCTCATTAATATCCTTTCCTGAAATGCAACTATAATATTACGGTAAGAAAGAGGTGAAGAGAGAACATTGTTGAAAATATCCAAACGCAAATATTTTTGGATAACAAAATTAAAACGCAAAAGGTAGAAGAGAATTCAACGGTAGTGCTATTTATTTGAAAAATAACAATTACCAGCTTTTCCGGACATTTACAAAGGAATGAAGGTTGTATGCTTTGCCGGATAAAATTGAATCAGCAAAATTTTCTATTCTCTCTTGATATATATTTGTTTTTATCATTTTCTTTCTTTTCATATAGTGAACCAACCTTTTGATTGCAAACCATACAGACTGAGTGAGAGATAAAAGAAGATTAATGACCAAATGACCACTGCAATAATTAAAATACAGTTCATCGGACATGGGAGTGCTACTCGTCGAAGCTTCATTGTGTTGTCACCCTCATGAATGTCTACAAATTTTCGTAAATCAATGAATAACTTGAACCACGATTCTTTTAAATATCGGGTAATTGATTAAATACTCTTCCCATAACAGATATGAAAATTCGAGCGTGAAATTGTCATTATAATGATCTAAGTATAGAAAAGCAGCAGGGAGTATTCAAGCAAAGCAATAAACTTACAAAGTACAAGTCTCCATTGTCGATATAAATTTGAAAACTGATAACACATTAAAAAGAATCATTAGCTCGAATCTGAAAAGTATTCATTTCCAGTTGGTTATTCGATTTTAATAAAATGAATATGGAAAGGATCTTAAGATAGTTATTTTATTTCCTTTCATGATAATGAATAAAGAACTTTATCTTCTCTCATGCAACTTTCTTCCTGTTGTAGTGAATTAAGGTAGAGCTTTTGAGGTCACTAAAACCTAGTCAGAATAAGTGGAGAATTTCTCCAGATTGCAGAATATTTGCTGTCAATATTAGATAAATCTACTAGCAAGCAAACAATGATATTTTTTTTCACAAGTGTGTTATATCTATTTTTATATTTATGATAATATAAAATTAACACCGATTCTAAATTCCAAAGCTGCAAACAGTGATTCGTAAATTTAAATCCATATTTGCAAGTTCACTATGATGATTTCAAATTTTCTTCAATATCTAATTAAAGTTGATATAATAAAAGTTACTGAAATATGTTGAAAAAATTAAGAGAAAATAGTAATAGATGGTTGAGAAAAGAAAAAGTAAAATCTCGTTCATTTAAAAATTAGTCCATTTACTGTTATCAATAAATGGTGGAACACGGAAGACTATTGTTACTATTACTATTTCAATATGCTTTTTGGGAAGGGAACATAGTCAGGAAAGATTAACTAATATGTTATCTGAAATTTTGAGAATAATAACTAGCATTAAAATTTTTCTTTTCCACCATTAGAAGCTAAAGAAAATTTCAATAAATCCATGTTGCAAATCATAGTTGAGAGGTTTAACATAGTTTGAATAAATTATTCGAATTTAAATATTTCAAAATGAAAAATATATCCACAATGATAGTATACTTTTTCGTTTCTTTTTCTTCATCTTCTTTAAATTTATGGCAATATTTTCATTTTTAAAATTTTAACATTAGTGAATGTGAAGGTAAAAAAGTCAAACAATGAAGGATGAATGAGGGAGAAGTCAAAGAATGAGGGACAATGTTAATAATTTGCATGACGAATGTTATATAAAGAAACATTGTTTATTAAATATAAAATGTTAGAGTTAAGTTGTGCAAAAATGCTACACGGTATGTATCCATACATTCAATCACATATCACCACGTATGTATATGATTACATTTTCCACATACACCAACATGCATATATATACGCATATATATGTACCATACTTGCAGTATTAAATGATCAAACATCTTTTATATGATAATGTTTGCATAACCAACGGAATTTTCAAAGAATTTTTCTTTTCTTTTTATTAGAATTTAATAAAAAGAAAAGAGAAAGATGTATTTCTTAATTGACGGCACAGAGACTGTTATCAGACATTGCACTGCTAATGTTATCAACACTTTTTCTTTTTATATTGACCTTTTTCATGCCCATACCTCACTTTAACAGGCATATATATAGCTATGGGGTAATGAGAAGATTAGTAGTTATAGCAATTAATTAAATAATTGCTAATTTATATTGTTGTTAATAAAGAAAAGTGATAAAATAATGAAAGAAAGCTGTGATGATACTGACAACATGTGAAAGATTATATAATATTGTCAATTCTGGAGAGATGGATCAATTTAAGCATGATCTGATAATAGTTGTGTTTATCAGCGTTGGAAATTCACAAATACAATTTGAAATCTCTTCAGCAGCTGATAAAGGCGTAACCATCAATTTGAGTTCATATCTATTCCAACAATGGGTGTTAAGTTATAAGTAGTAGCTTTAATTTTAGAGATATTTGAGAGGGTTTCAACATGTACTTGTCTTTTATCAAAAACACGGCCACCTGTGCATCCTTTTCCTGAGAGATCTCAATCCACCAATTCTATTAAATCCACTAACTGTTCATGCATTCAACAATAAAAAATTATGCTATCTAGCAAAGAACATTTGTAAATATCAAAGATTTTCGCATGAATTGGAACACTTGTCTATCTTAAGAATTATTCTTTCTTCATCCCCCTATAATTTGTAGGAATTATCAAGGTAATAAGTTGATACTAGCAATATTTAAGGTCTAACTATTACTTCAGTCGTGAAAATTATGCGAAAAGGAGTGCACTAGCAACAATTGCATCGAAAGTGTTTACTATTTATACAGTAGTAGTTATGCATAAAGCAAGATATATTCATTATTAGTTATTATTAAGTTGAGATTTATTTCAGTATTATCACTAATTAGGTACTATTATTTGGCAAGATTAGATACCTTTAATCTTCAAATTCATTATTAGCTTCTATATTTACACTAACATTAATGGAGTAAAGGCTTGAACTTATTCCCACTGCTGTTATAGAAAGAAATATGCTAAATAAATTACTTGACAAATAGCCTTCATCATTTGCAGTTTAGGAATAGCTGCTTTTAACAAAACTTATTAGAGCTACGAGATTTTTTTTTGCGATATCTTATAACATCTTATCTAATCTAATACAGCTGATTATAATTGTGCATGGAAATTGAATTCATTTCAAACAATAAATTAAACCTTCCAACGTATGCTATAACTTGCTTCAAGAAACAAATAGATCATAAAATTATGTCAGTCATAATTAGAAAAAGTTCACATCGACGTCATATATGATAGATCGAAGTTTACCTCAAATTTAAATAGAAACTTAAATCACAAATAATCAAAGGAGTAATCTTGTTGAAGTTACTTATATTCTGACTAAGATAGAAATGTATAAAATTTGCATTATGAAAGGAATGTGACAGAAAGATGCATAAAAGGTTGTAGCATAGCTAATGTTCGATTGTGGTAGAGAGAAGCGAGTAGGTAGACGAAAGCTTGGTGGGCTATACAGGCAACCACGCTGAGTGTTAAATGTTGAAGGTGACGGTGATATGGATGCGGAACGACCAGCTGTTTCTCCCTTAACACTGCGTCCAACTCTAACTAGCGAGGATCGGAAGCGAGGACGGCAATCTCACAAATAACTCTATCTTTTCCCAATGTGTATGCATGCTAGCAGAAAACGAAGCAATTTATTGTAACCAGAAAATTCCATTCTATTTGTAAAAATTCATATGACATATGTGTAATATAACTTAGATTAACGCGTAGATATGTGAAATAACACTCCCGCACTAATGTAATAATGGAATTGGCAGACCTAGACCGCATGTGATAAATATTGTGATACTGTCATTCAAGCAAAAGAAAATTTTTTTTTGTTGCACCCAACAAAAAAACAACAATTCATTCATACAGCTTTTTGTGTAGAAAAATTTGTGTTTTTCACAAATAGTTCAAGCTATATTCATGCCAAATATTGACACCCAAACTGTTAGGTATCTCTATCATTTTCCAGCTTTACAATTTAGTATTTATTTTTCTGGAAAACAAGTCTAAAGACTGCAAAAACATAGAGGCAGTATATCTAATATGAAAACATTCCCGAATTTGTGATCCAGTTAGAATAAAAAGATTTTGTATATAAAGAGATCTTCCTCTAATGTACACAAGCAAAGAGCTAAATCGAAATAAGAGTGAGTGCAGACAGCATATAAAATTACTCAAAAATAATTTAACCTTTATAAAGTTATTTATTTGTCCATCATTCTAAAATTATGTATTTGTTTGCAGTAATCTTGATAAAAAATAGTTAACTATTTGTTTGATTGAAGTTCTACTACAATTGATAGTAGATCTAACTAAAATTGATGTAAGTCATCCAGTTTCTCTAATTATACTCAAAAAACTAACTATATCCAATGTATTTAGCTGTATTCGACAAACATGGGATGCAAACAGATTTAATGGAATTGGAAAGGTAAAAAAATTAAAACTAAACCCTACATTTATTGTTGTTTCATTCTCGATCATGAATAAGAAGGACAATAACAGCTTGCGTAGTGCCAAGAGAAATAGGATAATATTGTTTTAGACATGCCGGTAGTTTGAGCATGCTGCTTAACGACGACAGGTGCATAGCTGAGATCAATAGTATTGCTGTCGAAATATAGCTATTACTGCCACTTTTGCAGCTGAAAAAAAAAGCATCACTAATGCGAATAAAAATTATTCTGATAGAAGTTATTTGATTGAATACTATTACTTCAATTTCATAGTTGTATAGCAATGATACAAAACACAATATCGTAATTACAGTTTATTGACTCTTCTGTTATTTCCTTACGAAACTAAAAATCAAAAGGTGCAAATTAAGATAACTATGTTTTGCTAAAAATCAAAAGGTATAAATTAAGATAACTGCGTTTTGCGTATTTCAGCAATCTGTACGTTTACGTCTATCGATTTATTTAATTTCATACATTTCAATTTTATCTGAATTGGAACGCAAAATAATTCTTTTTCTTTTTTCGAGAAAGAATTAATACCTTCTATAGTCAAATAAAAGAATGAACCTCTGTTCAAATAAAAACTTCATTCCAAAGTTCTTTCCGTCTAAGTCCCCTCTTGCTAGATAACCAGGAAGCATGATTTTTGTTTCATCAAACAAAACGAAACAATAAATGATGCAATAAATGAAAACAAGTTGAAAATACAGGCAAATTAATTGACTTCGATGAAAAAAGGTAAAACAACTGCATGCCGATCATTTCGGCATGCTAACGCTAACAGATTCAAAATTAGATTATATGTTAACTTAAAACTAATCCATTTGCTCTTTAATCTAATATTTATTGCACTATACAATTAAAGAAGTTGCGAATAAATGTTGTTGTCCTGGTCTGTCTCATATCGATCTCCGCATGTACTAACAGCCACAGACAGAGCCAAAGAAGCTTGCTTGCCTAGTTTGCATTTAGCTCCACCCTTAAATTATTCTTCAATATAGTTTAAACAACCGAGGAATACGGATAGTTCTTCTTTTTTCAAACAATAAGACTCAGCTTTTGAATGATCGAGATTCTTATAAAAGCTGCCAACTTTATCGACGTTTTTTCCATCGCTCTTTTTATTTTATGTGCTCACTTTCTTGCCTTTTAATTTTATTTCACCGCTGATCGTAAAGGATTAATTAGGTGGTTGCTTTGATGACGAAACGTCATCTATTTTAGGATCCCTAAGTATCTGAACAATCTACAGAGCAGATATAGACTACACCGGGAACTAGTTTATGGAATTACCCCGGTAGTTCGCTCCTTTGATGAATAAATAAAACTTTCATATTTTACCAAATGCTAAATCATTTAATGCAATGTGGAACGTAATCGTCTAGTTCAGATATGAACCTATTTGGAGAAGGCTCACATTGAAAGAGGAAGAGCCGCAGCATAAATTCGATTTTCCCTAAATTTCATAAAATCCGAAAAGAAAAAATGAAGAAACATGCTTTGAGAAGATATCACAAATACGTTGCAAAATCTGCAAGGCAGACTGATCGGTTCCATAGCGTTGACCAAACGGAATATCTGATATAATGTGATCAACCATTGTATATTTCAAACAATCTTAAATGTCACATTAATTGCAAAGGAAAATGTCACTAGCATGAAGATATTACGGATTCGAAATTTTTCATAAAAGAAAAGCAATTCTATATTTCGAACTAGCTCACTTCCGATAGCAAGTATTTGGGAAAATATTCAGTAAATATCGAATATAGACTAGGAAGTGCTGATTAAACTACCTGAACATGATCCATTAAATCATTCACTTAACGATGGATGATTTATGCCATCAGTATAGTCTGACAAGAGGGAGGTCAAACAGAATGGTTCAATATAGGACACCATCCTATGTCTCTTCTCGGTTATACCTAACACATAATCATACATATGTCACCAGCAAAGTAAGAATGCAATAAAATTTCACCGCTAAACAGATCCATGCAAAGTATGTCGATCAATAATTCTGCATTATCAATTTTTTGTAAATAATCGACATTTTTCAGTGACTGTTGTAAAGCACCCCACGAGAAATCAACACCCAAAAGGAAAACCTAAAAGTACTAAGATTCCAAAAACAAAAATGAATTATTAATTGTAAAACAATGAGTACATGAAAGTAGAAAACCTACTAAGAGATGGGATAAAAATTGACAAATTTTTAATGATTAGAACAAGAATCTACTAATGATATGGAGTATGGATTCAGGAATTTCGATCCTTCTACAAGTTCGAGCTTTTCGTGGAATCACTTTCAGTGAAAAAATTATCGTTTCAAAATGACGATCTAAAAAGTAAAACTTTTTAATTTAATGTTTCTTTCAAGAAACTGAAAATATAGCTTCCCCTATCCTGGAAATCATGTGCAGCCTGCAACAAGATGGAAGAAGAACCACATGTCAGATCGGCAACAATGTCACCATCTTGAATGTTAGCCATAGATAACATTGCATCTATAACAGTTGAACGCAGTGAATTCTTCAGCAAATAACATCTCTGAGATAAACGTTCTCTGTAATTTAAACAGCATTGCAATGAAAATGTCGTGTTATATACTGATCATAACTAACAATCATGAACGCTAAGCCATAGAAACCAACCCTAAGATGCCTGTGTCAAGTTTTATGCAGCATTTAATGTTATTAAAAATACATTCCTAAAAAAGCAAGAAAACATTATGAACTTATATTATTATATCCAAAAATTCAAAAATATACATTGAAATAGCGGGATGTTTGGAATTAGTTTTTTTACTTTTTCATTTTTCTTTGAAAAACAAGAAAGGAGTTCAGTTATGACACTAACCGAGTGATTGGTATACCAATAAAAATGTATTTTTCTGACAAATGCACACAAATTTCAATAGCAGCAAAACGAAGTGATCTGCTAAAACCAGATATCTGTTTGATGCGACGAGCAATACTTGCAGAGAGTTTCTGTAGTATTAAAAGATGAAAATTTCTGAGCAATTATTATGAATAGCAACTATCAAAATATTAGACTTGTCAATGAATAGTTTTCTTTAGAAATTAACATGCGCCGCATTTAGAAAAGAAGAGAGTCAGCAAGTCTTAAAAGAGAGAGTCAGTAAAGTATAATAAGGACAAATAAATCAAGGTTGACTTATCATGGTTCCAGTATAGCTATAATTTCAAGAATTACATGGGTAAAGTAAAGCAGTAAAAGTTCACCAGTAAAAGAATAAAACCATAGCAATCAAATTTAAGAGAAATCAGAAATATTCATTTCCTGACGAAATACCTCAACATCAATTTTTCGACGCCATTTTCCAGTTGCTTTGAGCGATACACGAAAAGTTCTACTGGGTGTCGGCCCTCCACAATGAAGCAAACAATTGAAAGCCGTTTCACAAGTAGAATTCAATAAGGAATTCCCATCACATAAGGTAAATAGCTTGTCGAACAGCTCTTAAAAACAGAAAAATCACGCGGCATTCCAAGAAAAGTTATACAAATTTATTAACAAGAATTATTCCAGTCTAAGAAAATATCCGCATATAGAAGCGTATAACAATGCAGTAAAATAATAAAAGTTATGTTGAATAATTACGTCGTTTGCTCCAGATGCGATCAATCGTTTCGTAAGCTGAAACTAAAAACAATCTTTCGGCACACCGCAAACTGTACAGGTTATTAGAGTTACTTGCATCAAATAGAATTTTACCTTCCATAATAGTTTCATCAATTTTCACATCCTGCAACAATGCTCTTTAAATGATATTTAGAAGTAGAACAAAACTGATTATTTCTAGCAGTATCTTGTTCCAATATTAATCTTAAATCCCAATTTTCTCACTAGTTAATATTGTTATATTTCAGCACTGATTGACATTAACATCATATATCAAGCAGTAAAATAATTCGTTCATTAGTGCAATGTTCATGTTTGAGGCGATGGGATGGTCCATTGGACACGACCCAATATCAAAATTTCGAAAATGATACTCTTTTATTGCTATACTACTAATTTAGATCAGTTGGTTTTGTGACAGTATCTCAACCAGTTGAATCTTCCGCGATTCCCTGCTCTATCGTCTATCAAAGCATCTTGTTTTCGCCGTCCTCACATCCTACATTCAGAAAGTACCGTAGGAGTACTGGAACACATTACCCGAATTTGTTCCAGTTGTTTCTTTACAAACGGTTCCATACCTCGACCCACTGTAACACAGTACCGCATTCTAACACTGTTCAATTTTTTCCTCTTTCACCACACAAAATTTGGATGCTGGAATCCCGAAACTCCTGAAACTGTGGATCGATTATTCTATGATAAACTCCCCTTTATTGTGCACTTCCATATTTCACATCCTTTTGTCAGGCGACCAATATTTCAGCACATATCCAAATCAAAATAATAATGGTAGGTTTAAAGATAAAAACTGATTTATATGAATTCCTGAGACACAATTTCCTTATGCCTACAACACAGTAGAATAGATCTTACCAAGTCAAAGAACAGACAAGCATTCAAACAATTTTCAATTATTTAAAACATTTCTTCGATATTTCGTATAAATACGTCTCACACTCATAACATCTATTTTGCATAGATTGAGAAAAATCTGCCGGTATATTAAAGAGTTCAACTTACGTAAGTAAACCAATCAGCTTTTTCGAAATTAATAGAGAATGGTACTAAACTTACTCATATATATCAAATTCTATTAAATATTTCGTATACAACGCTGAGAACGCAAATGAGACATACTCATATATATCAAATTCTATTAAATATTTCGTATACAACGCTGAGAACGCAAATGAGACATATCGATAAAATGTAGTTAAACATTTTACTCGTTGATTTCAATAGCAAGAAAGAGTATGAAAATAAACATAAAAACAAACATCTTTTTGAGGTATACCGGATCTATGTGTATGGCAAATTCATAAATACCGGACATGAAAGGTTTTCAACAATAAGAATTTGACAAAATAAATGATGATGCTATGGATATTGTTATAAGTATCTTCTTTTTTCTTTACAATAACAAATAAGTAATTACAGAAAGAAGAAAAAATTACCCTAATACAAAATCCGAATTAAATGATGGGAAAATAACAACTTCGGCAACACTGGCAACTTGAGGAAAAAATACAAGATTGAACGATATGTTGGGTATAGCAGATGAATGAGACAAAAATAAATTTGGATATTAACATAAACAGATCCGTATCCTTAAAAAGAGATCTTTTTTCTTTTTTTCCAATTGAAACGATAATGCATGGATATAAAATAAATCACCCAACTAGACAAAAAAATCAAAAATTCTCGGCTACTTCACTGATTTCAAGCATTATTGAATTAATAAAGAAAATTATTCAAAAAATATATCCGTAATTGGAATAATTCGATTGAAAACATTTACTATCGAAAATAACCATAATTTTAACCAGGAAGAAAAACTTTGAAAAAAATCAAAATTTCATTAGTTTGGATAGCACTATTTCAATGCACAAGGCTTTTTCAGTCGAAAGAATTTTCAAAACTATGGTGTACACAACAATTGAGCTTTTGATATTTTGTGTGCTGTACCCAATGAATAACAAAAATGGTAACAGTGAAAACTGCACTTTTCAATTAAAAAATTCAGGCAAATAACCTTATCGATTAAAAATTAAAAAAATGACAAAAGGATATAACTTACATACTACCTGATTAAAACAAAAGAATGAAAGAAAAAAAGAACCGAACTCAAAACATTGAACACGTAAAGTAGCAAGAACCATTAACTGAATCGAACCAAACTGCACGAAGAAAAACAAAGATGAAAAAAGAACAAACTTATATTTTTTTGAAATCGCTGAATGAAAGATTTTGAAGAATTTGAAAGAGAAAGATAAAAGGAAAACGTGAAGAACTGAAAATCAAAATCAGAAGACCAAACTGGATAAACAAACACTTTCATGAAAGATATAAACATATGGACCTGTCATGTACTATCACAAATTTACAAAATCAAACGTATGACAAGATCTTGCATAGAGCCATAGATATCCGGAGAACTTTCCCAACATTTCTGAAGCAGTAACCGAAACCTTTCGATTATTTTAACGCAGGAAATTTCCAGGCATAGTTCCCAACTTTTTTGAAAGTAATGATAATAGCCGACCCGTCGAAAAAAGACTGACACCAGTAAAAATTAGCAAAAAATGGCACTAAGAAAAAACATTTCATCAGGAGAACATAACACCGAATATTCATTCCATATTGTTATAAATTAAAAGCAAAAACCAGTCTTAACAAGAAAAGAAACTGAAAATTTCAAGTCTCGACAATAATGGATAATATTGAATTAAATTATGCTAACATATGTATGTGTGCGACAAAGATTCCTACATATCTAATTGAAGAGCAGCCTTATCTTACTGTGGTAACTTCAAAAGTAAATTTGATGTTCGTCGCTACTATTGTATAGAAGTAGTCGGATTATTTCAACGGAATAACCCAACTGAACGATCATTCGATCGAGTACATGTTGCTGCAAGTTCTACTTCCAACCATGGAGTTGCAGCTTCTGCTGCTCCACCATTCATATTTTCGTGATGGCATTGCTGATATTGCTGCTGCAATTGGCGCCACGAAGTCGCTGAAGAATTTATAACTGTAGCATTACTTTTTGAGGTATCAAAATTAAAATATTTCAAATGGCTAAATAAATTTACCCGTAAGACTAAAAGGATTTGGTTTTGCAAGAAGCGAAATGCTGGAATTTGCATATACATTCGATCGTTCAAATGTCATTTGCATCGGTATCGGTACATTCCCTAGTAATGTCACACCCTAAAACATTATAAAATAAACCAAGCGAAAGTAATTTTAAAAATAGTGCTAATAAAAAATTTCACATACGAAATTTTCTGCTTAAAAATTTTGTTATTCTCATTTATCTTCTTAATCGATGATCTTTTTTTTCGTAGCTCATCTCTACATATCCTTGATGCTCCCTTCTTTTTTACATTTCCGATTTTTTATAAATTCTTCATCTTACCCTTTCTTCGGCAGGCAAACTTGGTAGTGGCGCTGGATCTGACGGTATCCAATCAACAAAGCTGAATTCCGGTAAAAGTCCTTGCAAATCTGTTGATAGTTGCATCACATCGTCATGAGCCACAAACGGTGCAAACATCTGCCAGTCATCAGTACTTTCTATTGTATCTAAAAAATATCAGTTAAAATAAAAGGACAGTAGTGAGTGAGGTATGTCGAAGAATGGAAGGAGAAAATTCTCAAAACATGGTATGGTAAGAAATCTGCTAGTTCCTGTGACTATTTCTCGTAAATTTAGAACAAGGATACTTTCACTTACCACTATCGCCATTTTCTTTATTATGAGCGGCTCGTGGAATTTCTCTAACACAGTTCACCGGACTTGCGGATGGATTTGATTGTGTATGGATGGAATTATTGTTGGAAGCAAATATGGTATTAGAAGAGGTCGCCGCAGAAGTAGTAAAACTGTTGCTAAGATAAGGATCATAACAAGTCAAGGAACGAGAACACTGAGTACCAGTAGTAGATAAAGTGGAGAACATATTGCCTTGGCTTCGTTCGGTTCCAGTCACATTTGTTGCCCCATCGCCAATTGTATCTATAAATATATGCAAGTTTATGTTCGTCTCATCCTTTTTTTTGCATAAGCAAAGTAATTATTTGAAACCTAATACCATTCACCGCATATTTCCACTCCGTATTTTATTATTATCATAATACATTTTTATATTTTATTTCAAAAAATCTTTAGATGATAAAACAAGAGTTTTATCATATTGTCTCGAGAAATGCAAGCAACTTCGGGAGTTTTCAGTTCATAGTTTCAAATCATAAACCGCTAACAAAGTTTCGCAAAAAGAAAATTATCACGCAATTTAACTGCGAGTGTTGAGTATACTTAGAACCAGATCTCTAGGACAAATGTAAAAAGAGAATGATAAAGTCAACAACTACGCAAAAAGGCGCTTATTTAATAATTAATATTACTAGAACTATTTGATCCTGCAATCTGATGGAACATGTTTTTACGAGGCATTACCACGCAAAAAAGCTCGAAACGCAGCTCAGAAGTTGAGCTGACATCACACATTACACTGTAAAAAGACGCATACGAAAGTTCAATGAATTCCCGTGAATGTTATTTTCTTCCGAATATTTTGAAAGAGAGAAACATCACACTTGTTTAACCCCATGACACCGCTCTCAGATTACCGTTTCAAAAAAGCGATGAAGCAAAACAAGCTTACATCCAACATTTTAGAGTAATAAAAACTATTACCATTTGCGGAAACCGCAGATAACCGTACAGTGTTAAAAATAGTTGCTGCTGGGGATTCTGAGAAATCAGCTTGAAAGCAATGATTACTGCAATCACGTGTATTTACATTAGCTGTCCCCCCGCTACAGTTTGCTCGTATAGCATTTGCTCGTAATCGACATCGATCAATTTCAGTAGCAAGTGGATTGAATTCACTTCCTCCATTTCCTAAAAAAAGATTTTAAAAAAACCGAGTGCGAAATAGAACATAATATGAGAAATTGCCAATATCTTCACAAAGATTCAAAAACTGATTTTCAGGACTGCTCGACAATACTTGTGGTGAAAACTGGAATAATTTTGCAATAAATCTATTAAAACAATTAAAGTGAACTTGTGTTGTAGGAATCTATACTAAAAGAGTGCTCAGCTTGTCTGAAAATGTTATGCTGACCTTTTGTTCATTTAGTTTCCCTTGTTTTCAAGGAATTATAATAATGCGCTTCATGTGTTAAATGGCTGTAAAGGTTTTAGCTCCCTTTGTGTCTAAAAGGACTTTAAATATTGATTGATTCAGAGCAGTGCCATCAGTATGCTGATGATACTTATGACATGAATACTAGTATTACGAACAGTCTTCATCACTAGTATTACCAGGAATGCTACCAACTAGTGACCGACTCGTGATATTCTCTAATGCTTTGCTACAGTGTTCATACAAGAATAAACTCTCCGTAACCAATAACTAATCATTAAAACTTTTAACTAATAACTAACTAACCAATAAATAACTTCCGTAACCAATAAAACTTTTAACCCAACCATACTAGTCTGTGCCAATCACTCCAACATCAAGAAAAAAAACTTCGACAATGCTACCGATTGAATGATCCATTGCTCTTAATTCATCTATTTGTTACGCTTTCCCAGTAGATTTAAATACACAAACTTCAATGTAATATACTATAGATGAAGATACATAGTGGAAGAGCTGGGGACGGAAATAAATTAAGAGAATTTGCCAGCGTGATATCTGTTCTATTACAGCAAACTTTTATTGCTGCGTCATCAAAAAAATGCTGGAGTGTTATTCTGATAATACATCAACTTTATTTGTACGAATTTAACGAAGACTTCAAAAGCAGTGTCTGGTAGATGTACAAACAGCATTTAGGCATATGCTTTATATGAGTTCGCGACCAGATGGTGAAAGTGATAGCAAGACATAAAAACTCAAAAAGCCTGTTAAAAAGGAACCGTTATGTAGAAATGAAATGTTCGGAGTGTTTCCACGAACATAATCGTTGGTACCCGATACCGAGATACCGTTTTTAGTACCATAGTTGATGGTTTCAACTCGTGTCGCCGTATATCTTCTTGACTCGCAGTTATATTCGTTACGATCTAAAAAAACAATATTTTCGCGCCACTTGTGACAACGACCCTTATCGGCAAAAAAAGTGAGCACCAAAAAAAATGAAAACCTTGAAAAATAGATAAAAACAGCTAGGAATGCATCAATTTTTGAATATCACATATTTTGGGATCCTCTGAAGAAATTTTTATGGAAGGTTGAGGAATATCATGAAAATCCCAAAAAAACTGAAAAATGTATTCAGTCACTAATTAATAAAATTTTTACACTAAAGAAAACTGAAAAAAAAATCACTGAAATGTCATAAAAAATACAGCTACTTGATCAGTACCATGCATTCTTTCTTGACATGCTACTGGCTCCACATAATTAATTTTTAAACACATCTACATATTTGCAGCACACAACCCATGCGTTTTGCAACCATTACAAATTATTTTTCATGTCAAAAGTAAGAAGCACTAATTCTCATCTTCTTTTAAGCATCCACCAAAACGAAGAATATACTAGAAAAAACACGAAGTATACATACCTTTATTGCTTTCAGCACGGAAAAGCAATGTTCCTGATGGAGATTTGCTACGTTGTTGAGCACGAAAAAGCCACTGTAATACTTCATTGTAACTGCTCTTTATTGTTTCTGAAAGATTTTCCTACTTACATATAACTAAAAAGTTTAAGAAGTAAGGTCAGGAATAAGACCAAGACTCATTCATTATCAGCAGATTTAAAATTTTGATACTATTTTTTTAAGAAAACTGAAAGATCCATTTGTCAGTAACTTGTTGTGCGGCAAGCTACTTAAGTTAACGATGTCGACTGCTATTAGATCAAAGGAAGTTTTTCATATTTGCAACGATGGTGCAGCATAAGCAAAACAGTGATCTCTACTGAAAAGAAAGTGAGATGTATATAAAGGATAATTTATTAGAGTGCATAATTAAAATAGTAATGTCTACCATTACTTGGTCAAAGATTTACAGTGTGAGAAGACAAACTCTTTCTGAGACTTAAATATATTGAAATTTAAGTCTTTTTCATATTTGCAATGATAGTGCAGCATAAGCAAAACAGTGACCTCTACTGAAAAAAAAGTGAGATGTATATAAATCAAATGAATAAAACTAAAAAATTTTATGAATTATTGAATTAAGAAAATAAAATCATACAAAGGAATTTAGAAAAATCATCGTTTAGTATCAAAATCACAAACATCATAATTATGATTGTATATAAGAATTTATACACAAAATCTTATGATGTTTATACATATATAGTAATATCTAAGTTTTCGTCATCATTCATTTAGTGAGGCAGATAAGTGATAGCATAATCCATAACAAGCCATAAGTCCACAGCATGAATTTCCACCAACCATTCAACGAACTACTTAGTTCAATGCATTCAAACATCTCACTGAATCGACAGCAACAGGAACCTTTAAGGCTTGTACTAAACTTTCTTAACTTCTTAGCTTTCCTTTAAAACAGAAAATAAAAAGCATAAGATTTGCTACGTCATGCGTTACTTAATTTGTTAAAGAATTAAGAAAGCAATAAGAGAGAAATATTTTAATTATCATTCTCAGTTACCAATTCCTATTGCTATTTACTCCGAAGAATTCCATGTTATGAACGCATAAGAACTAAAAAGTAAGGAAAGAAAGTAACGCACCTGAACCCTCTGTCATTTCTTGTTTTATTTGCATTGACGCTGGACATAATGCTGCACTGTTCTTTCCGTTTATAAACGAATCTCGTTCACTTTGGGTACTAAAGCTTACATGATCGCTTTTATATAGGAACATAATTTAGTGACATTAAAACAAAACAACTTCTACACCCCAGCGTGAATTAAAACTTATCAAATGACAATTATGCCTCACTTAAAATGGACATTTGCACTATAATTAGATGAAGTTTACACGCATACAACAGAATGTATGTTCTCTCAAAGGATGATAAATTTTTGAATCCCAGCAACATATCGTCAAGATTGGGATCAAGCTAGTGATAAGTCAAGAAACATCACTTTTCCTCAATCTAACTCAACCTTACTGCATAAAAAGTATTTTTCAATTCTTAAGCTTCCATACTTCGGTCCAACATTACTCAGATTAGATTTGTTAAATAAACTTTAATCCTTTAAATATTGCGCCTTATCAAAATATTACATTTTAAGCAAAATGTATCAAGATTTTAGAACGTTTAATTTCTTTCAAAAAATTCGAGAATTCAAGTGACAGAAACAATAATGAGAGGTAAAACGAAATTAAAAGTTCTCACAAATTTTACACGCACAAATAAAAGTTCTCACAAAATAAAAGTTTCTCACAAAATTCTCGAAAAACAAAAAGTATAGAAACTCGAAACTTAAATACTAACCCAATTAACTGGTGTACACAGATGATATATTGTCCTTTTTGCCCTTTTGTCGTATTATTAATGGTAGTCGCTTCCGTCTGTACCCATAATACTGATTTATTGAGGCCAATCAAACGATAGTACGGTGTCCGTGTGTGACCTTTTGTGAGCATTTCACGTATCGAAATAACCACCACGTCAAGATCGGCCGGATGGACCAAATTGTAAAACGAGGTACCCATTAAGGAACGTGCTTCATGCCGAAGAATATAGTTGAAACTTAAAAAAATAGTGCTGTAAAAGTGTGGCTGGTGTTTCGCAATTATTTCAGTTTCAGTTTTTAACAGATGGATTTAAATCTAATCCCGAAGAAAAAAACTACTCACCTTTGATAATAATTTGTGTGCTGTCAAACACGTTTTCTACAAATGATAATTTTTTATTCTATAATTTACTCAATTCAGTCACACTTTTTCAAAAGTACCAAAATGCACTACTCTTTCTCAGTGTCTTCGAATGTAATGAAATATGAGTGAGGTCACACCATCCGTATGATGTGACCTCACTCATATTTCATTACATTATGGCAATTCGTGATTAAATAATAGAAATAACAAAGATAAATAAGAACTGCGAAATTTTCAAATGCATCACTAAATAAGCAAAGCGCTGATGGCTCCTACTAATTTCAGACTTAACTATATTTAATTTCTGATGTAACAAATTATTACTTTTCAATGTGTCATTAACATACGAAAAATTATAAACCTTTCACTGACATATGAAAATTTCATATCATAAGTATGCCGCGTCATGTAAGTGCCATTCTGTACCTCCGTACCTCTTGAAGCTATAAAAACGCTATTACCCTGTCCAGCTGGTTGTGCACTAGCTTGTATGATACGAACACGTCCATTCTCGGCGGATAGTGAACGAATATGGCAAATTATTGGCTAAAGATATCCAATTAAAAATTAAAATTGACCAAATTTTTGGAACCTACGAAAATCTAAACCTCATCCCATAATGAATGCAAACTTATGTCTTTCAATTCTTACTAATTAGTTCAATAACGACTATTACTTGCATTAATCACCTATACAATATTCACGAACTTGTCATGATTTCTTTTGTTTGTGGTCATCAGAGATAAAAGCAGAAATGTTGATTTTACTCCTTTCCAAAATGTGTCAACAACCGTTTCTATAGTTTGCAAGACTGACGAACGGAAAAAACAACTAATCAACTTAGTTAAGACGAAACCAAAGACGATTTTTCAATGAGCAGAGAACAATTTGAACTTAAAAGATGTGTTTTATTTAATAATTAATCTCAGGGTTTACTAAATTTGAAACCTACTTTAAATAGCGCATTTTTGAGATTTAGGTTTCTGCCTCGTGGACTAATCACTGATTTCATTCGTAGCGTGTATACTCGACCGCATCCGTGATCGACCACACTTCCAGTATCATAGCTAATGTATTCATCGTAATCACTGGTATGAATAAATTCTTTCAGTGAACGTCCCGTAAGGTCAGTCTGGAAGATTTTGAACCACACATCAAAATAAACTTACTTAAATCAGTAAGTTTATGGAACAAAACAAGTTACATTCATATTTAGCCATTTAATATGCAATGGACAATTTGACTTATTTAGTTTTAACCATTATGTGTTTAACGCAGTACTAATTGACTTCATGTTTACTATTTTTTGCAATTTTTTTTGTGCAATTTTTTGTCGATGCGCTAACTGTCCTCCACATAAAAAAAGGAAAAAAGAAAATTTAATGCATTGTCATACACAGTGACACCTAAAATGGAGGTAATGGAGGTAAAATGGAGGTAAGTATCTCAAATCATGCCATTCTTCAATTACAAGCCTCTTTCTACCTTACCACATATTTCACGTCAGGAATTTTAGATTTTCAGAATCCTACTGCTCATATTCTACACTCAAACCAGCACCTGAACCTAAGAACCAAATATGACAACTTCCCCTCATCCATCCTTCCTTCGATTGAAACTGTTGCATAACATTATGTTTTGCTGAAATTCTGACACTTATAAAGAAATTGAAACTTTGAATTTTCGTACTTCAGAAACAGAAAACGAGGACAAATCATTTTAATGACAATGAAAGACATTATTTAAGAATGTCATGTATATACATAGCAATACTTATAAAAAAAGTAAAGAGAAACACTTTCGGCGTATTAACGAAATGCATCGAAAAAGATTTGGATCCTTGAGCTCCTTGAGCAAATTTTTTGTGATTCTGTCAGCACAGCAGTCATTTTCTTAGCAAAAAAATAATGACTAATAAATTGTGAAGTGGTAAATTTTACGATTACTTGAAAGAGACAATGTGGCAATAACAAATAAGTCATGAAAGAGTGTGGTCACATAAAGTGGAAATGCTCTCCCAAAACAGTTATACTTCTGACAAAATATTATGGTACCGAGCTTTTTCTATCTTTTTCTTTTTATTTTCTTTGAAATCTTGCGCCCCCTCCCACTATTCTTCCAATAAACTTCCTGATAAATTTTCTTTTTCAGGGTTTGTAAGAAAAATAGATATAAATGATTTTTTTATTTCTTATGCATTTGGAATCGTTAGATATGAAGGCAAATAAACGCTCCAATTTATGTTTCGAAAAGGAAAAATTTTAAATTGAACATACTTGTGTAAGTCCGAGGTAGATGGAAACACTTTCACTAACGTATAGAATGATGCCGTCTAAATCAACTATAGCCAAAAAACCATCTAAACACTCTAGCAATGTTGTTTCAGACCATAAACATTCATTCTCCTCATTAAGATTAGTTTTCAGAACTGAAACAATCGTTTTATTTTTACCTCAGAAATCTGAAGGACTCAAGTTGTTCAAATTGAAAAATTCAAAATAAGTCCATTAACAAAAAAACTTGCGGCTTCTATCTTATAGAATTTAACGAATTTCCCAACAACAAACATTATCTGGAATATACCCTCACTTTGGAAAGATTTCGCTAACCCACAGCCATAAGTAAGACACCCAACAAATAATCGAAATCCGATTAAAATGTAAAATCGATGTCCAATAGTTCCACAGAATTTCTCCCCCCATCCCAAGTGAAGCTAAACAGCATATTTATATCTGCTACCACTTCTACTTTTTCCAAGGTTAGTTTTCAGTGTTTTTTCGACGTTTTTCTGGTGGTCAAACAGCCCGTTTGGTACGCTTCAAGTGGTGCATTCCAGACTTTCCTAGTTAAAACCAACGAAAATTGAATTCTCTTGAAACTTGCAGATATCAGAAATTCGATTATTAGCATTACTACGACCTGTTCAGTTTGGATTTTGCATGAGGCATCATGCTCGGGGAAGACTTTTGTAAAAAAATTACATTTCGTAGCAACTTTTCGCAATCGGCAAAGAGTTAATGCAACCCTTAATAAAGCGATCCGATCTACATGTGTGACGGTTGCTTCATCAACAATTGGCACCACTACTTTCAGATCGGTAAAGATATCTGCTTCTTTGCCACGTCGATCACGCGCAGCAAACCGAGATGATTCACGACGTCGATCGAGTGTTCTAAAAAGGTGACATTTTCGGACGCACGTGATGAGTGTAAAAACGAATCTTCCTGATATATCCTTTAGAAATTAATCTCGATCAAAAAGAATTCATTTGAAAAAAAATGCAATACAGCACAGTCTTAAGCAAAAATATTAATATTAGATCATTAATATTATGAGCTATTCTTGCAATTTGCAAAAAATGAATAGAACCTATCCCGCCCATCTTATTTCTTTATATGAATTTCTTCATTGATATAGGATTCACTTCCTTCAGCAGCATGCATTATCTGACTGTTAAGGGCACAATTTCCTGGTTTTGTATTCCAATATTTTTGCCAAAAGAAAGTAAAAAGGCCTGCCAGCGTCTTGGGACGTGTTAAAAAAACAATACTGGGAAATTACACAGTGCATACGAATTTTTAAACCATAACGGAAAAGAACCAAGCTTATCAGTGCTTATCAAAATTTGTGCACCTGAAGGATTAAGCAAAAATTCTGTTTTAAAACAAATATTATTTTATTGACTGAAACATGTTTCTGCAATTTTCAATGTTTCTTATTGTACAGTAATCAAAAAATAAACAAAATAGCTATCCATATCATTAACGAATTAAATTTTCGTTATCTATCAAAGATTATTCGTTTACCCAACGAAATGTTGCAATAAGTACGACAAGAACAGATAGGAATATTTATAGAATCATTAGCTTAGTTTCAGTTTCCAAAATGTGAAAGCAAAGACTGGAAGATGCTTAAAAAGATGTGAGAAGCACCCACAAAGTGAAAAAAAGGAGGTCATAGGGAAGGCGGGGTGACAGGAGAGAAATAGAAAATAACTAATAAAACACTGAGCAAAAGTTATGATTTTTCTCCCATCGACAAATTTGGGTTTCAAAGCAAAAAAGGAAACAAATGATTCACCCGACAATTCAGCAATACAGGATAATAAGTTAGAAAAAGAAGACAAAGAACTAAAACTATAAACCAGCATATCAACATGGAGGATTATTAATTGGAATGATTTCATAACTGACATCTTACAAATATGCGGAAAGGAACACGACTTATCATAGTTATATAAGTTTAAAAAGGTTGAGGCCGCATGACATTAGAACACAACTACCGCTACAGATTAATAATGATAAACATGCCGACAATACAAGATCGATTATCTCTTAATAATGTACTGTATAACTCGGGATGCTATTAAGTGTACTTTGACATTGTAACATGCTGTTTTACACGTTCGGAGCATCAAAACTGTCCGTTTTCTCGGCAACTTTTACCCAATAAAGCAGATGGGAGACATATGAAAATGACGGTAAAGAAAGTGAAAAGATGATCAAAAAAAGAAATCCTTATCACTCTTTCTTTCTTATTAGAAATGCTATCAATTCAATGATTACATTAAAAAAGGAAAAAATTGATAACTTCTTTAAAAAGAAAAATTCTTAAATCACTTACTGTTTTCGACTGAATTCCACAAAAAACTCTGAATCATGTCCGCCCATCATTTAGAAGAATTGTATTTAAGTATATAATAAATGTCTTGTTGATTTTCGCCACCAATCGGAATAGAGTCACCAAAGCGAAAAATAATTTTGATAAAATGTCAAGTGGAATAAAGATCCAATTCAACAATATACATCTGAAGATAACAAATTATATCATAAAAAAATTATATATAGTTAAATGAAGCAATTATTATTGTCTAAACTTAGCGATAAAGTCTTTGATGTTGTTCAAAATTTGCAAATTTATCTGTTTGAAGGAAAAAAACCAGTTTACTTACAACTCTTAGTTTAATGAATTTTAAAAATGACTTGAGATTAATGATATACCATACCACGAAACTGAATCATGTCAAGACACAAATATCGAACACAGCAAAATTTTTACAAGCGTAATGATGGGTGAAAGGGACTTATGCTTAGTAATAGTCCTCTTTTACAAAAGTGATAATTTCAACGCCAAACTACAAACTTTAATAGTAAATATACGTATCCACGCTTAATTAATAATGGCAACATCTGACATTAAAAGCTTTTTTGATATATAAAGAAAGAAATTCATAGCTATAATTTTGGAAAAAAGCATTTTCGATAAGTTCCAAAGATAATTATTAGGTAGCAGAAAAAAGTTAAACATTTTTGAAAATGTTACTCAAATGATTATCTTGTTACTATCACTTTTTTTTCTTCCGCTTTTTCCTTGTTCTATAGAATGTCGGTAAAGTAAAATTATTTAAATTTAAGTTAGCGAATAAATAATCTATCACAGCCAGAATATTTCGCAAGAAATAATCTATGACTTTATCTCAGATAATGCTACTACGATTAATAAGATTAATAAGATTTCGCTTATTCAAATGCATCCTACCCTCCATCTCCATGTTTACGCAGGATATCATATCGTCAAACTGTTTCATTTTACTCTAACAATTTATAGATAGCATGATTAATTATTCAGTTTTTTCCCTGACGATTTTACTTATTTTGCTGCGCAACAAAACTCATTACCTCGTAATAACCTAAGCCTGAAACCAGTTCCGACCTTTCCCTATCCTCCCAACTCTCAAATATGTCCTTTCCTTCATTCTTCCACCCATCATTTCGGGTACAGAAACATGACTTCTACCATTCATCTGTAAAAATGACAAAAATGAGATTACCAATAGCATCTCGTCAATCCTCAACAATAATACCGCTTCCTGTAATTAACAAATTTTAACATTTTCATCTCAGAACTTCTTAATTGATAAAGTCTGAAACAGTATCATGTTCGTTAAGCAAATGCAATTTCCAATTTTTGGTAAATCAAAGACAGAAAATCACGAATAAAATCATAATGTAAAAAAAGCGAAAACAGTTTTGAAAATTCAAAATTTATAAAAGTTTATCATCAATTTTATAAATGGAAATCCATATCTGATGTGTATAATTTACTTACCTAACGAATGAATGTTTCATCTATTCAATAATATCTTACCAACTTGCTTCCATGCATTTTTTTTTCAACGAATAAATCATATACATACATGTATGTGAGCAACGACCTTTTAGATAAAGGAATAACTGGCAGATTTATTGATCAGTTTAGTAACATATTATGTTTACCGTAATCCTACCTAATAACCCAAATCATTCCATCATATTTTTAAGCTGTTTTCACACATTTATTCATCCAATAATTTGCAAAATTTGATAAAAATTTGAATTATTTTGCAGTACTACTAAAGAAACGATCAACTGGGAAAAAATCTATTCAAACTTTCAACTAACAGATCGTATAAAATAGTTAATAGTTTTACCTTGCTGATAAAATCACTTATCAGTGTCACTTGCCTTGGAAGAAGCATCTTATTTTTTTTCATTATTTGTCTTTTCACTCTTTTCTATCTTGCAATTCCACTTTGTTATTTATATCCACTAACACTTGAAATCATTACCAGTGAATTTATTGCAACGACTTTACGACACATAATTAATGACACCCTCCCCTATAGTAAATGATAAGCGTAGATAAGAAAAAGTTGCTCAATCTCATCTCTTTTATAACCGATCATTTTTAATAAAGATGCACTTAAATGAAAGAATAAATGAATGAAATAAACAATTTATCATTTCTCCCCTACCTTATTTTTTATGAATTTTTACAAAATTTCCTATCCTCTTCAAATTTTATCTCTATTATTTAATTAAATAAATTATCTACTCTTAATTATTTGAAAAGTTCTATGTTTTGATTGTACTGCGTTTAGTATGTGATACCTTATAGCTGTGATGCAGAGAGAATGAACCCCTCCCTTATCAATTCAATCTATTTGTCACAAAATCCGTCGACCTTTTAACCTTGCCATGAAATACTATTTTTCAGTTATATTCTTCCTGGTACTAATTCTTATCCTATCATATATAATTCAAAAGTTGTTAGAAAGGGAAAATAATTAATAATTTCATGAAACCCAAAGAAATAGTTTATATCGAATAATGCGATTAAATCATTCTGATATTTAATTCTCATATTTCTTGACCTGTTGATTTTGAAGGATTAATGACCATTTTTGCATTTAATTTAGCTTGTTTCTTGATTTATGATTCCAAAGGAAGTCGTTAATAATTAGTTTTATTTATCAGACGATCAGTTATTTAATATTAGATAATTCCTTGTTTACTATTAAATGATTTGTTTGCTAGATTCGTTCTTCCTAATTTCTGATTCCTACGGAAATATAAATAACACTCTTCGAACATTGACTTCACTTATTTAAAACTACAAACGGTGTTTCAAAGTGCTTCGATATTATGACAGTATTACCATCTATGCCCATTTGAATCCCTTTTGAATCATTACCTAAGCAAGCAGTCCTAAAACATTTTCTCAAATCAATAAATAAAGAAGAACACCAAGTGATAGACTTTACTATCGATAACTCTGACAATTGTCTTATAACATCAAAAAGAAAATTCTTCATCAAATAATAAATCATCACTAACTATTCGACACAGTCAAAACAAAGTTCTCCTCAAATAATCAAATTAAACTAAAGAATTTCATAATAGAAGTTAATTCAATCAAGTCCTCATGCTTCTTATTACTCGAAAAAAATCCACAATATCACAGTGTTATGTAAAGTTAAGCTACAAGTAACCATTGTTCATATCATCACATCGCAAAAAATCTGAATTAGAATTACATTCCCGATCAAGTCGTCCACAAGATCCTAATTTCATTTTCGAAGTTTTAATTATAATTTATTCTTTTAACTGCTAGTTATCTATCTTATAATGACATTAATCTTAAGTAGCATGTATATTAGCATCTTAATTACGTTAATAACAATACTAGCAGAAGTGATAGAAATAAGCAAGCAATGATCGATTCAACACAAAAATTTAAGAGAGAAAAAAACTTATTAAAATCAATGTAAATTTTCTTTTTACTAAACTGAACAATACTTAAGACATATTTCCTTTTCAAATATAATCTTATCTAAATACCAAATAGCTGCACAAGAAAAAGCGAAATGAATTTAACTGAAAATCCACAAAACTCGAAAATCCGCCTCTCAAACCGAATCACTTCACTATTGCTAATTGAAATTATTCGCATTTTGCGCTCGAACCCAATGCTTAGACGTGGGGAAGTTTTTTTGCGCTTCTACAATTTACTTTGTTAAATTTGATTATGACAAGGGTATTTTCGCTACTCACAACTGTGTATGTATTTCATTACATTTCTAATAACATTACTCTCATTGCTCTCACACTCTTCACAACTTTTTCTTCCTTTCATTTCTTCATGCGCAATTCATTAATTGTTATTGCAATTATTTGCAATGAACCGCTACCAACACATTTTCCTGTAAAATCTTATCAATCTTTGCTACACTCCACACAAATACGCTATTTCCTTTACTCTTTACCATCCTAACTTACATCATTCTATTTTCTCATCTATTTTATAGATTTAATGAAATTTCGACAGTTTTACCAGTCATTTTCAGTAGATAGGAAAGAAAATGCAATCAAATTCAAAGCGTATCTAGAATATCAATGAAATTGCCATCATGTACTATATTAAATTATCATCAATCTATCTTCATCCTCCTACATTCCCTTCATCCTACCTCAGTAATTTTACCGTACCGTACCTTACCTTACATTACCCATCTTATCCTTACTTACCCAATACTTAGTATTACCAGAAAAAAAGTAAAATTACTCCCTACTAGCAAATAACAGTAATCGATCATCGGCTTAAAATACCTGTTAGGCTGTTGTAGCCACAAATATGGCGCTTTTGAACATATCTCAATAATAGCATTTTGTGTTATTTCTCGTTGTTCGCTCATTTTAACTAGATGGAAAGTATTGTTAATACTAGTTCTGCTAGAGATACCAATAATTTCGGATGAAATTCTGAGGATTACTGGAAGTACTCGAAGTTCGCATTTTTACAAAACTCATAACCAAAGGATTGCATGCTATTTCTTGTTTGATTCAACTTTATTATTTATGATATTATGTTCAAATCGATTGAAACTTGCTGGATCTTAGCTTTTGTGATAATATGGCAAATCTTTCGCCATCGATATTGAAACTTTCTGGACCGCATTGTCAATTTTTGCCAACTTCTCGATTAGATTTTGGTTGTGATGACGATTAGATAATATAATGTATACTTCCCGCTGAATATCTATATGCTAGTTGAGAAGACGTGACTCCACACGGGTGGCAAAGTGCAACCGACACAGTGCGACAAGCTCAGGTGATCGTTAAAATGATTAGTTAGTCTAAGAAATTGGCTAAAACAGTTTCGAAGTTTTCGAATAATATAAGTGAAAATTCGAAGGCCATTTGAAAATTTTATTTTTGATTCGGAGAGAATTTAGGTATCTTTTTGAGCATTCGTGAAAACGTCTAACTTTCTCGGAAGAAATTTCAACATTTTTGCAGATAATTTGCGAAAAATTCTTTAGAAAATTTTGCTAATGCATTTAAGAAGTCTT